CTTTAGTTAATAGTTTTTATTAAGTTAAATTTATCAGACATCCGATTGAAATAAAGCTATATATGATAAAACTAGAGTAATACAATGAATAGGACACTCGAGAATACATTCACATGTTCTATTCTCTGTTCAACATATTAATTTTCTCAAATAAGCAAAAAAAACTATGCATAAATGTTGATATAATATTCATTTTCTAATGAATAAATGCTCATTAATGAAACAAGGACATATCTTCTAGTTGAATAGAGAAAATAGATCGTTTATGATAAAATAATAGATGTGACACTCTCTATTTTAGCAATCATTAATCTAATTTAATTTATATCAATTTAAGTTCTGCCATAATCAATAAAAGGAAAAAATTACTGACATGCTAATAGACGTAAGATTTCTATCAAGAGACGTTGTAATTTTAGTTATAGTTTTCTAGACATAGCATTATTCGTATAGTGATGTTTATTAATATGATCAAGCTTTTGAGACTTTTTTGTCGATTTTAACTTGTTCTCCGTTGAGAATAAGTAAATTCTAAGTTATAATCAGTCTTTAGCTCAATCGGAAAGTTGCACATCCGTATCTTTAAAATACTCGTGTCTTTTATACAAGCAAGTTTTTTTTTTCACACCAAGTTATTCTATTTCCAATAGAATACTATCAAACTTGGACAAGACATAAACACTAGTATAGTATTGATTTTCTAGAAAATCTAAATAAGATTTTAAATAATGACTTTTAATAATTCAAGAATCAATTCATCATAGAACGAAATAGCTCAATGTGAATAGTACTCTAGAATTCCTACTCATGTGATAATTATTTTGAAATTCGAATATCTCAGTGCAAAAATGCCTATAAAACAAGGTCATATTTAAAACTTGTTAATAGGCTTATGAGAGTATAAATGTCACTCGAAATACGTTTAATCTTACTAACGTGCAATTAAAAATTTTCTACTGTAAGAACAACTAATTACATTATTACGAATGTTATCAAGCATTTAAAATAGGACTCAAAGTTACACAAGAATGAAAATTTTCATGAAATATCGATAACATTATAATTAATATTTGTAACGTTTTCCAAATTATCTTGAGGCTAGTAAATTGTAAAAATATGGTTAATGAAAATATTGTAAACGCAACATACCATTGAAGAGGAAATGATAAATAAATAATAATAAATTCATAATAGTTAACGTACATATAAAACTGTTTTGAGAGAAGCAAGATAATGAATTGAGTTGGTGTCATATAAATCGAGGTATACTATTTGATGTGCATTGTGTGTCTTGGTATTGCCTTTCTATTTGTGAACTTCAATCAACGTTTCCTTGTCTCTCTATTTCCTTTAATAATGTTTTTTCCGTTGTTACTCATCATATTTCTCAGCTGCTTTCCTTCCTCATATGTGCATTTGAAGTTTCATGAGTTTTATCTTTTCTTAATTAAAATACAAAAATAAAAAAAATATTAAAAATTAATTTTTTTATTTTATTTAATTGAATAATGAAAATGACATTAAACATAATATTTTATAGCTATTTTTTCTTTTTTTTTTGCAAATCCGACAAATACAATGAAACAAAAATAAAATGATCAACTACAAACACATTTTTTTGTTTTGTGATGTGTTGAAGATGTTGTTGCATTAGTTTCTTTTGATGGTTCAAGATAATGTAAAAGAAATAAATCATTTTGAATTCTAAATGCTTTATTTACTGCTGTTAAAATTTCTTTTTTTGTTTTATTATCAATATTTTCTGTAATCCAAACAGAATCAATAATCAATGTTTCAACATAACTTAATGTTGCATTCATATGTACGTAATCAACATTAATTGATGCTAATCCAACTTTATTTGTATGCATTCGACCAATTCGTGATAGATATTGAAGAAAATCATCTGTCCATTCACGTTGTAATAATAAACGTTTTAAATAACCACTTAACATGTCTCGACGATATGACATTTGTGCGGAATCTAATGTAAGTCCTTCATCCTTTTTTAATCGACCATCAAAACCATCATTACGCAAAACAAAAAATTCTTTTGTTATATCAAATTGAAATAATTTTCTATAGACAGCATCTACAATTACCGGAATAAGTGGAAGAGCTATTGTCGCTAATGTATTTAATGATTTAATGTCATCATTTGTAAAATTAATAAATTTTGATAAATACTCGAAACGATAACGAAGATCGTGATTTAAACGACTACCATCAATATGTTCGGTCATTTTTTGTCTAGAAAAAAAAGAAAATAGAAATTACGAATATAAGATTGTAAAATTACTAAGAGTATAAGATCATTGAAGAGAAAAAAAAAAGACTGAATAAATACGATCTTTTTTCTTCATGTTTTCTTTTTTTTTTTTTTCATTCTGTCGATAAACAAGACAACGTTCATATTGCATGTGAATAAACACATAGATGAATTATTTTCATAATTACATTTGCTAACATAGAAAACTGAAAAATACGTCGAAGAAAAATAAAAACGTGTTTAATTAAGAAATAGAAAAAGACTTTTTCTTTTATTAAGAATAGTTTTTTTTCTTAATTATAGAATAAAACTTTTCAAACGAGAACACCATGTTAAAACTTATTAAACTGTAATTTTCTCAAACAAACAATACTTATGCTAATTTTCACTTAAAGACGATTATACATTTTTGTTTGTTAATTTTTCCTAAATAGTACTAGACAAAGAAGGCTATATTTTAAAATCGTGACTCAAACATAGCCTTCATTGCATCTACAAAAATGATTGATTGATTCCTATTTAACTAATATCAGAAACACCTATTCTAGGATTTCAAGATAATCAAGTGTTAAGATGTTCTGATTCAATTGAGTTTTATCTCGATCAGATCAGTTCGAGAGAGTCCAGTCTGAATCATCGATCGATTTTTCAACGTATATTTTTGAACAAGAACTAAACAAAAAAAAACATCGGAATATGCGCATAGGTTTACTGTGTTCATTTGAACTAATTATATGTAAGTGTATGTGCTCTAGATAACGAGAAATAAACGCTTAACATATGCACTACGGAACATCTAATTTGACATACATTCCATTATGACACTTGTGAACAACACCCTACATTTTAATATGAGAAAAAAAAAGTTGCTGCCGGTAACAACTTATGCAACTTTAATGATTCAAGAAAATATGTTAGGTCTGGAATCGCAATAATGCATTAATAATATGTATTTTACTGAAATTTTTCGATGCATTATCGAATTCAAATAAAATTGAAGTAAAATAACTTTTAGAGTTCATGTTTTCAATATTCTGTTACAATCGAAAAGAAAGTAGATTTATTTTGGTTAAATAGATTAATTTATATAAATTTCTTTTTTACAAAACTGCTTTGACTTTTTCTTTTATATTTGATTCAATGATTTTTTTTTTCTTTGACTTAAATTTCTAATTGTTTAATTTTGTTGTTTTACTTGATAGAAGTTATTTTTTAATTGCACATATGATGTTGTCATGTGTAGATTTTGTTTATGACAAGACATGATCAAATACTGACCTTTATCATGTTGCTTCACACGGATAAGCTACTATGCAAAGTATATAGTAACTTATTTTCACTCGAATAAAAAAACATTATTAGCTAAATAAGAGATTTTCAATTTTAAACGGATGGCACAAACATTTGAGCCGCATTTATCTATCAGCAAAATAACTAACATAATTTAATAGAATTATATTATGTCTATGTCTGACTGATTTCCACATTACTACGTATTTTTATAAACTAATAAAACTTCAAGGTTATATGGATGTTTATATAATGACATACGACAAAAAAAATATTTGTTCAATTTATAGAAAGGATGTTTTTTTTATTAATCTCTAAAAGTGACTTTCCGAATTGAATATGAATAAAAGAATTGTTTCATTATGAATATAACAAAGTTAATAATTAATCATCATAATTGTGTAATATTCTATCAAGTATATATCTTTTAATTGATATAACTACTTAAGAATGCTAATATATATTTTGAGACTTCATAGATATTGACAATAGTATTGATTGATTTAATCGAATAAAATATTTTTTTTTGCTTCTAATTGATCAACAGTTTTCAATAAAAAAAAAAAAGAGAAATTTAATAATAAAAGGAAAAAGTGATAGACGAAAGAATAATTGTCTGTGGACTTGATAAAATAAATGCTCGAGTAATAATAATAAAAACTAAAAATAGAATAACCTATAAAAAAATGATTGATTATAGCAATTCTCTTCGTTATTCAATTTGATTAAGGAAAACTTCTTTTTCTCATTTTTTTTTGTCGCCTAAAAAGTTCCTTAATACTCATTCATATGAAACAAAATGGTAATTAAATAAATAAAGTTAGATAAAATTTTTCATAATAATATTCCTTCAATAAATAACATTATAATATTAACTTATCTCTATTATCTATAAAATAATTAACAACTCGATGAAAAATTCACCTTTCATATTTTATAATTATCTATATCAAAGTAAGATATATTAATAAATATAGTTGAATCTAAATGATCAACAAGATTTATTTTACTAAAAATCATCAATTTATTATTATTCGACATAAATGATTGATTCATTTTATATTATTTTTTAAGAATAACATTCAGTTATTTTTATTTTTCTAATAAAATATTCTAAAATTCTCGATTAAAGTATCAGTCATAGTCTTAATCATGATGACCGTCCTTGAGATACACGTTGATGTTTGAAGAAAAAGCATCCTATCAGTGAATATTTGTTTTATCAAAATCATTCAAGCGTAAATAAAAGTATATTATACACCAACAAGGATTGTTTTAAATATATAGTAGTAGTCGAAAGGCACATGTTGAATCGTTACTGTCATTGAAGCGAAGATTTTCTTCTATTCTCTTTTCCTTTACTAATCATTCGATATTTTCTTAGATTTTTTAATTTTTCTTTTTTATTTGAGGCTATTGAATTAACTATAAAAAACCCACGATGACACAAAAAGTTGTAACAATTTATGCTACAGATGCAAATGGAACTAATAGAAAAAATCATGTCATAAAAACATATTCATTTAATACAGATGATGATGATACAATATTAATGACAAAATCTCTTACAGTTCCCAATCATAGATTAGTATCGGTTAATTCTCCTTCAATCGATAGTGCTAATGTTGATGATGATTCATCAGAAGCCAGCAACAAACCCAAAACAAAAAGATCACGACAAATACATGAATCTGAGGTATGATATTATCTTTAAAAATATATTTTTAAACTATACATATATCTGTTCTATTCAATATTTCTTGGATGATATTCACAACATCAAAATTCAAGCAAAATTTTTCTTTTCTCATTTTTGTTTCATACATGGGATCGATAAAGTTTGAGATTCTGATCAAGAAAAAGAAAGGTTTTTAATTTTTGCTGATAGTTTTCTTTTTTTCAGATTGAAAAAAGCTGCAGACAGAATAACTGAGAGGAAATTGCTTTTTTTGCAAAAAGAAAAACATTATTTTCAGTTTATGCCAAACTTTCTATTTTGTTGTGTATTTTTTATAGTTTGTTCGATTATTTGTTTTTTTTCAAATTCAGTATTTCAAATACTTTAATAAATCGAACTTGATCCTATAATTCTGTTAATGGTGATAGTCTAGAGTAGTTTTATTGACATGTTTCTAGGTCTTTTTTTGTAAATCAATGTAGGCTTTCTCTATAAGTAATCAGACAAAATATATTATTTCATTTAATTCATCACATTACATGTCACAGAAGTATGCATCATTTGTTTGTTTCTACATTGCTTGATTGATGAGAAAAGTAACTTTTTCTAGATTCTTGTACAAATATCTAGACTTTTGTCTATCAAAACTATCTTTTTATGTAATAAGATTATTATATTCAATCACAATATTAAAAAGTGACCTGACTGACGTATAATTTTATTGTTTCTAATGATTTCAATATATTTTGAGTTGTCAACTGAAATGATAATTAAGATTTTTGAACAAAAACTAACGAAAAGTGTCGGAACATATGTCATACAACTCATTTTTTAGCAGTACATGACTGAATATGATAATCTTATTACATAGAAGATTAGTTTTGATGGAAATTTGTCTAGTCATTTGGCTCAGAATTTCGAAAAAATGACTTTTTTTTTTAACAACCAAGCAATGGAGAAAACACAAGCGACACATACTTCTATGACGTGTAGTACGATGAATTAAATGATACAATATACTTTTCCTGATCAATGACATAGAAAAATCCGATAGAATTACAAAAATAGCCTATAAGCATGCAAATAAAAACAATCTAGGTAGTCACCACCAACAAAATGTGCTGACGAAGTTTGTATTAATCAAGTATTTCTATGCAATTTTAAATGTTGAATTTACAAATAAAATAGTTGAAGAAATTGAAAAAACAACAACAAGAGAAAAAAAGCAATTTTACTTGAATTTCATGTGGTAGGTACTTTACAAATATATTATTTTATAATTAGTTGAAACTAATTTAAACTTTCTTCAAAGTTCTTTTCCGTTCATTCTCGAACGATTTTTAACTATTGACAATAATAAAAGTTTGAACAGTAAATATGTCTGAGAAAAATATTTTCTTTTACTTTTTCATCAATATTTAATGCATCTTTAGTAAGAAAATTTTATTAATCTGATTTGTTTGTATAGAAAAAAATCGAAAACAAACGTTCACAATTAAAGACATATCCATGGTATAAAAAGATCAATTGGTCAAAACCATTATTAGTCGTGGGTTCATTAATTCTTCTTTATTTAATGTGGACAAAACAAGACATATGGATTCCTCGATTATTAACATCAAATATTCGTATTCAACGTTCGGTTGTTGTACAAGATAGAGAAATATCAAATGAGTTAACAAATTCATCTTTACATTCATCGCCAACAAACGCAACAAAACCATCAAAAGATTCACGACTGAAAACTGTTCGTACAGAAGACACTATCGAAAATAGTGACGAGAAAAATGATGACCAAGGTAATAGTGAACGAATTAATGTCAGAAGCAATGATAATTCAACAGGCTCTTCGACGAAATCAAGCAGTGGTCATAGAGTTCATATTCGAGCTCGAAGAACCAAAATGAGTTTTTCGAAAGAACATGAGAAGAAGAAATATCGTTCTTCACGAAATCTTCCTATCGATGATGATTTAGATGATGCTATTGATGATGATTTAGATGATACTATTGATGATGATTTAAATGGTACTATTGATACAGAAGAAAATAAACCAATCAAATCAAGCGAATCAATTTCACCATCACATCGTCGTTCACGGAAGAAGCATCGTCGTTCACGGAAGAAGCATCGTCGTTCACAGAAGAAACATCATCATCGAGAAGTTGTTCGATATGAAAATTCGAAACCAATTGCTCCTTTAAAACGCAGTATACGTTTATCTACGTATAATGACATTATTGACCAATTGAGAAGAAATCTTAAATCTCGAAATCAAGGTCGAAAATTTTTATCAACAGTATCGAAAACAACTGGTTTAAGCAAAAAAAAACTATATCGGTTTATTTATAAAAAAGATTTTCGTCTTTTAACAATTCAAACATTTATTTCTATTTTAGATACATTTAATTTAATGCTTTTAATTGTACCAAAACAGGTTTAAAAATAAATAAATCGCCCCAGACCAGGATCGAACTGGTGACCTTCTCTTTAGAAGAGAGACGTGCTTGTCCACTGCACCACAAGGGCATATTATGTTAAAATAGAACAATTTTTGCTTCACATTTATTCGCAAACAAAAACAAAAATAGTCGAAGGAATGTAAAAAAATAATCTTGTACAATTTCTTTTCCTTTTGTGACTTTAGATTTGTATCATGAGAAAGGCATAAATACTATGAATAAATGATTTATGAAAAAGGATCACTTTTCTTTTTCTTCGATTATCACTGAATAACGGCATCCTTATTGTCAATTCTTGATGATTAATATCTTCATGGTTGAGTGACTAGGTTATTCGACACGTGCATCTTGAATAACAAATGATTATACGAACGTTAAAATGCGTTAAATTAGCATTTTCATCATTTTGAAACGTATATACTTGTTTATTGATTCGATTCATATTTTAAACACGTTTTTCATAGTTTTACTTTAGTGTTTTTTGATTATAAATTATTAAAACAATCTCATTTTGTTGTTATGAAATGAATCATGATTAAACAAGAAATTTTTATTTTTGTCTGAAACATTTTAAATTGATCGAACATTATTCATTACAGTCTTTCATATATTAATTAAATATTTTCTTACACTATAGATATCAAAACACACTTATGTAACCAGAACTAAAATAAATAAATTGTTTGACAATTAAGGCATGTTTTTATAATCGAATAAACAGAAGTTTGTATTGAATTTTCTTGACTGAAAGCTTTTGGCTAGAGAATGATATGCATATGAAAGTATACGTTTATATTTCTAGCCTGAATATTTTGTACAATGGTGTTTTAGAGAGGAAATGTTGGAGACGATTGCCTTTCTACCAAAAGTTTGTTTTTGGATTTTTTTTAGAAGAAAAAACTTAAAAATGAGTTGATACTACCGATAATGAGCTTCAAAATACATTTTATGATCATGATTGCTCTATGTTTTCACAGAATTGTCTCCATCATAAAAATCTTAGATTCAACTGTAGTGAGTTGTTGACTACACAATACGAGCTTCACATCAACTTTCTAAGATGAACAATGATAAAAGAGATGTAACCCTTTCAAAGTATCACGCAGCGCATTGTTACACTTGTACTGGAGATCATGAAAGCTTAAAATATCAATAGTTGATGACATTTTCAATTGTCCTACTTTTTATATGGCACGCATCATTAAGTGCTGCGATTTTTCTTCTCTCTTCTGACTCATCTAATCTTCATTATAAGTTTTTCTTTCGTAGATATGAAAACATCATATATCAGTGATAAGTTATCGATTGTAAATTGATTCTATTTTTGCATTACTATAACTGTTTAAAATAAGTAAGTGATAACTTTACTATATCATATACCTCCATCTGTATATATCTTTATCTCTATATCTTTCTTTTCTCTTTTCTTTCGCAATACATATGCATACCTATCTTGTTGTACATAATGTAATGTTCTCAGTTTTCTCTTTCATTTTAATTTGTATTATATCTCGCTTCTTGAGCAATGGAGAAGATTCAATGAGAAAAACTATACTTTTGATGACCAATTCTTGTTTCGAGTCGTGATTTTTCATTAAAGGTCGAAATGGCAATGGGTTTGCCTACCTGTTGATGTAGAGTGTAATTGTGAGTGTATGTGGAATGTGAGTGACTTTAAGTATGGATATGAGAGGTAGATAGGTTTGTGTATGAGTGTAGTTGTGGGCAAATAGAGAGTCCGTACCGACAGTAACTGCCACAGTCATCCACTTACATCCACACTTGATTCGTTTAAAAGGAGATAATGTATTACATAACTCAACTTTATTAACTAGTTTGAACATATTTTCGACGACATACGACACTGTTTTAAATAGTGAACTTTGAGAACGTTTTATCAAGCTCGGTTAAAAAAAACATGAACCGATTTCATCTCTGATAGTTATTCTTAATCCAGTACTCTTGTACTTATGCACGTCACGATATAATTCTTTCTCCGAGTAATCTCAAATAGAATATGAACTATTCAATAATTAAAAGAATCATTGAAAATAAGATTGTTCAAGAAAAATAAATGCTTAGCTAAGAAGGATATTCTCAATCTTATCAAAATCAAATCCTTTTCAGAAAGAAACGCACATTCTATATAATATTTTCGGTTCATTTTTAATAAATACATCAATTTATAAATGAAAATATGTTTTTCTTTATTCTACTAATAAATAAGATAGAAATCGTTTATAATATAAAAAATTTCACTGTCTAAATGACTAATATGATATTCGAAAATCATATGAATATATGAAAGTCAAGTTCTCTGCGAAAGAAAGTTTCATTCTCTGTAGAAGTAAGAGGTGGATTTGTAGAAAAAAGCAACTATTCGATTATTCAAACATGGTCTTAGTCATTCTTAGGCCAATTTTATACATTTAAGACATAAATGTTGTTTTTTATATTCATTGTTTTTAAATAAACACCACTACGAACTACTGCATGAAAAACGTTTAACCACTTAAACCATTTTTGATTCATCTTTGACATACGTCGCTCTTCACTTAACTTTTGCTAAGATGAATTTTTCATAGAACAAAAATATTCACCCATTGTATATATTTTTATTGATCACAATGATAAAAATGCTCTTTACTAAAATTCAATTTATTTTGCGGAACACGTGTATTTCTCAGTGCATGTGTTAATTCATACGAGTTTCACAAATGAATACTGAATCATCGTTCACCATCTAACTAACAGATCACGAATAGATCTACAGTCTGCTGAAACGGATTGGTGTAGCATCATACATTTGTTTTTGAGCTACACTTGGTATACACAAACTTCCTAGGAGATTATAGATGGACTAATCCAAACTTCAAAACCATTAGTTAAGAAAAATGCTAAAGGATTTCCAGTGTAATGGTTAAAAATCATATACATGTCTCCAATTTTGAATCAGTCAGCTACGAGACTCATCATGACACCGTTTCTTGCAATGGCTTTCTTCGATCGATAATTCATTCTTTTTCATCGTATTGAAATAAATCAAAATCTGTAAGAAGTCTATCTATTAGTATTATTTGTCATATGATAGAAATTGATTCTTTTTGGATGAGCCTTCTTTTTAATTAGAACTTGTTAAGATGGCATGATTATAATTAAACACAATATTTTTCTGCTTGATTACAAGGACAATATAATTTATTCATCCTGATTCATCCTTTCATAACAATTTTCTTTCGTTAAAACCAAAACATCTATTTTATATATTTTGATAATATTAAGAAATCAAAACATGATCAAGCCTAATACTCAGAAAAGTGCGAACAGATAAAAAATTATCTTTCTATGATGAGAAATACACTGTCGACTTTATATAAATCATTTGTACTTTTGTTACATATGAATAGGAGGTAGATATATAACAGAATTTATTACGACTGATCTAAGCTTTGATGAATTAGAAACTATAACAAAAAACCAGTAATGAGAAACGATATTTCATTCAAAAGACATTTTCCATGTTTAAATATTCACAGAAAAAAAAGAGAAAACGTGTAACTTAGATGTTGCATGAACTGTTTTCTCTTCAACAATGAAACGAAAAGCTTGGCTTTTTCTCAATCGTATTATTGCAGTTTTCTAAATTTCTACAGAAGGTGACCGATATCGTTGATATTATAATAAGACTAATAAAGATGAATTATTGTTATTCTCTTTCAAGAATATACCTGGTCAATGGATTCGTTGCTGAAAATAGTATGTTTCTATTAATCAACATCTATTTTAAACAAAAGAATAATTGAAGCCTAACTTTCTTAAATATGCATTATTAACATTCAAAGTGAAGATCATTGATAACGATTAAAGTCAAGTTTTTAATTGAAGAAAGTTTATTTTTGTTCATGGCAATTTAATCAAATTCAATCGATATTTAATAAAAAATAGTCAATTTTCATCGAACTTCATTACTATTTTACAAGAGAGCACACACAGTCGCACGCTTGCACTTTAAATTACTTATCTCTTAATTTATTTGGTTTCAAAAATGACTAGCCAAATGAGTTTGTTTTAACTTTTTGTGCGTGTTCGTGATAAACAAATTGATTCAGAATATCGTGCTCATTCTGATGCAAGTAATGTTAATACATAACGTCACCTATCGCTAACTTTCTTTGATATATATTTTCGTATGGATATATTGTGGACGGTGGACTACATTTTGGTTGACGTGAATTTTGGTTCACTTCCTACGACCAATAAGATCGGTTTACGTACTAATATTCTACTCCACTTTGTTAGTTCTCTCTTTGATAAGGATAAATTAACTGCAAATCAGTTGTTTTGATAAGTAAGAAAAAGATGAAAAATACGAACAAAATGCATAAAATCTGTCAGAAAAACCAACCTTGTATAAATATTTTTTTCAGATGAAAATTTTATATATGTTCATTTTTTTTCTTATTGTTACCTTTGGCGAGTACGAATACATCACAAAAACAAATCAAAGATTATGATTTATTAACAAATTTCACAAAATATAATGATCTCGATCTTGTACATATTCTTAGCCAAGATATATCATCAAAAATCTTCAGTTATATCACAAACAAATACATGAATGAGGAGAGATCAATTGAAAACGAACCAGCGTTGATTTATGAACTCGCTAAATCATGCATAGAACTTCATGGTTATGAATATAGTAAATATTTATTGGTAAAATTGAAAAAATTTATTTCAAATAAGGTATTTATTAACGCAATGATACAAGAAGTAGATAAAATGATGAGTGATTATTTGGCACGAGTAAAAACATATGAAGATGAAGTCGAATATTATCCAATGGATAAATTTCATTATAAATGGAAAGGTTTACAAGCATTAAATTATCAAGAATATCGAAACATTTTCACTAATGTAATTGATAGTGAACAAATATCATTTATGAAATATGCAAGAAAAAAAAATATGAATCAGCATCATGTATTCAAACAAATATTCTATTTATATGCAATTGAAACAGGACGAATAGAATATGTTTACGATATTGATGATACTATCGTAATTAACATGATGAAGAAAATGAATTTGAGTATTTTATTAGAAGAAGAAAAGAATAAAACCAAAAATGAATGCGAACAAATTATAAAAATTATTAATATTCAGCTCAAGTCCATCTTCAACAAGTGAGTTGCTTATCATTTAATTGCACTTTAACTGTTGAGTTTAAGTACTTTTAATTGGTTTGATAAATGTTACTTCTGTTTTTCTATTTTCAGTTCTCAACAATTACCATTATTATTTACATTAGATTATTTAAAACGATTGCATGCTGACCATATAAAATATGCACCATTTACAAGCCAATATGTACCAGAGTTGCAAGCACAAATTAGAACATTGATTCCGTCGGGACGATTTAAACTGGCACCAAATTCACCAACACGAAAAGATGGTAAATTATTTCGATTTTGTCCACCATCTAAAGTTGAACAGCAATTAAAATTATTATTTTCGTTGTATGAAATATATGAACAGAAAAATATTGATCCAGTTCTACTAGCTGCTTGGTTTCAATCAGAATTTATTCAAATTCATCCATTTGTCGATGGTAATGGTCGTATTGGTCGTTTTTTATCGAGTAAAATACTGATGGATAATGATTTATTGCCTTTTATTGTGGAGAAAAGAAAAAAGTTGGAGTATATTGACTGCATGGATGAAAGTATTGCACAAAATAATTTAACATCATTAGTTAATTTTATTAAACGTGAACAGTATTCACTTATTGAATACGTATGAAAACAAACGATGTGTGAAAAACGGAAATATCTTACTTGTTCACTGGATGATTGATCTTTTTTTTTTTGTTTCAACTTATTTTTATTTTTATAATACTTTGTCGTTATTGATATTATTTCTCGATATTCTCCTTGTCTAATCTATTATTCTATTAAGTCAGAGGAATCTATGAACTTTGAACCACATTTTTCAGATACGAGTGTTTTTGTTATGATCTACATCTACTTCAGATGCAATCATTAGTATTTTGCCCTCTCTATCTATAGGATTAAAGAGTGTAACTTAAGTTGTGATTCTATTTTTCAATAATTTTATTAGAAAAGAGGATCAGAAGTTATGTTCTTTTTCTTCGACCAAAATCCCAGTTAGCCAACTCGTAAAATATGAGAACACTCGTTTTTCAAAAATATGGTCGAATGTTCATTCATTCTTACAATAATTTATTCTCTTAGCGTTGTTAGTTACGATAGTACCATTATATCGCAAGATATTCTCTGCTCCGGTTTTTTTGAGCAGATATGTATGTCCGATGTAGTTGATAATATAAAATAATGTCTATTATTTTACATTATCAACTACATGGGATAGAATTCTTTTGTTTCATAATGCTGATTAGTCTATTGATTTATCCAAATAAGTTTTTTTTTCTGCATATGTAAAATAGTAATTGTTTCTATGAATATGTTGTTATTTGGTTGAGCCACGCCTATTTGTATCAAAACTTTGTTGTTACTCTATTACTTCTCTTGGATTATTTCTCAGTTAACTTTGTCGTTATTCGTTTTTCTTTTCGCAATATTGTTAGATAGTTGTTGTGGCGATTCATTTTTTACTATGTCAATAAATCGGCGAAACCAATACTGCTGTAGTATATATTTTTCTATTTATATAATAATATAAGATTGTTTGGAAGAAATTAGGATACTGATTGCATAGCATAAAGAGTAACCTGTCTTTTTTTTTCTTGTAATGACTAATAGCAAGAAATCATATCTAAAAATAGTGATCCATAAACTTTGTCTCGTCGAGAACGCGCATCATTTTGATACTTGAAGAATGGTTCAGGAGGAAATTTTTAAAGTTTTAGGACGGATAGATCTCCATGAGAAAAGCAAGATCTATATAACATTCAAAATTTTCAGATATTTTCTGCGAGAGATATGAGGGTCGTAAGGGTTAAAAGAACTCCCTTTTTCAGCGACAAAATCTCTGTTAGAAGTAACAGCCTTTTAGGATCACTACCAAAAAGTTTATATTTTTAGCACTATAAAACTTATTAGCATTAGTTAATAGTGTTACAATATACAAAGACAATACATGTTTGTTTTTATGATCTTTTACTAACAAATATTTTCGCCTGAATCCACTGATGAATGAAGATTTCGTTTTGAATGAACATCAACCGGAACGTCTCGAACAAATGCTAGCTAATGCTCAAATATATGCATATCAAAATGAATATAAGTTTCTTAAACTTGCGCAATGATTAAGAAGATTTCGATCACTATTTCAACGTGTATTGGATAAATTAAAATAGTTTATTTGTGCATACACATAAATATTTTGTTTGCTTGTACTAAGGGTAAGTATAAATTGGAGTAACAGAGAAGTTCGTCTTATAGAACAAAATAAGTATGGTTGACTCTTACACCAGGAAAAGACGATGGGAAAACAGCAAACTTCACCGCTTCAAGAGACTTCATAAGACTTCAACAGATTTCAAGACAATTTGAGACTATCTGAACGTTGGAGAAACCTTAGATATCGATTGTAGATGAATATGGAATGTGAATATATGTGTAAAAGAGTCAATGGAAAAACAAGTGATTCAATTGACTTCTACATCAGTTGAAAATCATAAAAAAAACAGTCGAGTTTCAGTGATTTTTTTTAATGATTCCCAATTATGTTTGATAAGTTTTCAATTTGTCAAAGTTATCGTAACGCATCCAAACTCACAGATTACTGTTCTCCTCTTGAAAAGAGTGGTGTTGCTGTTGATATGGTTATTCATATCAGCTGCAGTCACAATCACCACACTTACAACGTCATAAAACCTTGAGTTATTAAGGACCCCCCTCCTCAGAAATGATTTCCCACTTAGAATGGGTCTTTTAAGCTGAAAATTTCAGAGATCAGTGATCCTGGAGAGATACGCCTCTGGTAAAAATTTCAGCTCTATAGGTCATACTAGACCGAGTTTTCAGCTGATTCATAGGCCATTTTTGGCCTTCAGGAGAATCTGGATAACTTTGTCGCAATTTGAGGTATAGAGCTCGGGGTGGTTTCAGATTAAACCCAATGTCAATACGCAACTTTTCGTCAACCAGAATTTTTAAATTCCATATTGTTCATTTTTTATGAATATTTTAGTAGGCATGTCTTAAAAAAACATCAAAAACAGCGATCTGACGACAGTAAATTCCACTTTTCTCAGGCCAGGAATCGGTTTTAAAAAAACTGGTTGATGAAAACTTTCCTCTCATTGAGACCTTTAAAACAAAAAAAAATATGTGTTATATCTTGAACCGTGCGTGAGTTATCTCAATTTTTCTGACTGAAAACCATGTTCTGAGAAAAACGAGAAAGAAGTTTTAGAAATAGATTTTTTCACTCAAATGCAGAAAATAATGATATATTGATAATACTTATGTAAAATTTTTGAAAGCATGCAACAGATGGTGTAAGCTAGCACTACAGGTCGTACTATATGATATAAGAATGTTTATTCCATGCTGATAGAAGTAAAAGAAGTAGTCTTCCCAAAAATAACAAAAACCGCGAAAATCTCTCCGAAAGCCGGGTAGTGAGGTGGTTAAATCTCCTATGAAAGTGTGTAAAAATTTGACGTTTTTTTTAAAATTTATATATATTCTGAAAGAGGAAAGTTCGCTGCATCTTCCTATGATAAAAACTCGACTTCAATTACTTTACCAAAAAATGGATTTTCTGAGGGGAGGGGGGCTTAACTATGATCCTTTGAAATGTCAAACGAGTTTTGACTTTATCAGCAGATTGACGAAGCAATAAAATTTCACATTTCTGATAAAATAAGATCATTGAAAACTAATGAGTTTCGCTGGTTTTCTTATGAATTTTGCATTCACTAAATGTATGTAAAAATTTCAGATGACTTTTTGAGATTTCATAGAACTTCAGGAGACTTAAGCAGACTTTAGAAGACTTTGAAAGATTTTCAAGACTTTATGGAAATTCATAACCAAAGTGTCACTTGTTTTTCTTTCGGGAAAAATTTCTAATTTCGAATGATAAATAAGAGAAAATTTGTTTTTTGTCGCTAAAATCAATTTGAAATTATTTATTTGCTGGAAAATAGGCAGGTACTTCGCAATGATATTTATGTCTAAATAGAAAAATATTCTTTTTTATGTATTTAAATTAACAGTTTTTGTCAACTGATAAAAACTGTCTTAAGATGAAAACTTATGTCAAAAAGTTTCTTAACACAAGCTATTCTCAATAAGTATCAGTTGAGTGTCTATGATAAATATTTTATTGATTTTGTGACAATTGAATAATGACGTTTGAACACATCTTATAATAACAATATAAGTAATATGCACTGAAACGTGCTTGAAAAATAAATTCATTTGTAGAAGAAAAAGTAATAGTTAAGACTCAAAATGTTTTTGTAAGCTGATTTTATTAGAAATCTTATAGGATATTTTTGAAGAAAAATTATAAGAATATTGACAGTATTCACTTTATTTATTAGATGAAAAACTACTCTTACCATTTTGAAGATGAATATAAATAAATACATTGCTAATTGCTTTTTGAAAAATAATCCATAGGTCTTATATAAAATATAGTGTGATATTATGTCATTGATTCATTTTTTTTCTTTTCAGCATCGATTTGTAGAAAAAAATAAATAAACACTATTATTTGGAAAACTATTTATAGAAATACTTTTGTTATTTGATATTTCTTTATTTATTCACGAATTTCAATTAATTTTAAAGAATTCAAAATATTGTCATGTTTTCATCAATGTCGAACATAAGGTTGTTGAAAGATATAATGAGAAAATAAAAATTTTCATTTTTATCATTTTCTCTTTAATTTGAATGACATTAGTATACCCTAATCTTATCAATGAAAAATAAAATGAAATGGAATTTCACGCAAAAATCGAATCGAATTATTTATATAATTTTACAATGATAGAATTGAGTTTAATTTAGTTTTAAACTCAAGCATAGAAAACTCAATTCGAGTAATACGTAACCATTCTTAAAACATGGTGTCGTAGTAAAACGAATAGAAAACATTACTGAATAGAACTGTAAATAAGTTTTTCTAGAGGATGTTATTTATTCAGAACTTTCGAAAGTAGACCAAGGATGATTTAATGTTACCTTCTATGACTTTTGTTGTTCACCAAAGGAAGTTTACAAAGATCTCTGATGCGTAGATACGAAGTTTTTTTTCATTGCAGATAAATATCTATGAACGAAACTTTTTAATTCTTTTCATTGAAATAAATCGTATTACTCAATAAATTATATTAAGTGAATTTGTTAGTAACTAATTTCGTAGTATGCTTCATGTTACAATGATTTAAACGGAGCAATTTTTCATTTTTTATGATATTATTTATTGAATAGATTTTCTTATTTAGTATAATAAAAGGATAGTAAAAGAATAAAAAGTAAAACACCATATCAAGGAAGAAATTTTGAAAGAATTCTTTTTTTTTTATAAACTTATATTAGATTAATATTATTCAAATGTTGACCTAAGTGATTTGTAATTGTATATCTACAGTAAAAGTTATATTTTTTCTTTCTAGTTTATCATAAGGTACTGTTATCTGCTTTTTTGAATGATGTCATTGAAAAAAAATTAAATGAAATTTGTTTCAGATTCTGATCAATAAATTGTTAATTGAACCGGTGTATATAGCAATAGCTTATTTCAAGAAATATCATTGAAATAATCATTGGAAGAACTTTAGAAAAAATTAAGAGAGTCTG